TTGGTTTTACACAATATTTTCATACCATAATATATTTTTTAGAGCCTGTACATTCATGTGTTGTGTTTTCTTTCTTGTTGCTGCTCTGCTGATGAAGGATAATGCAGAAACATCCTGTGTTTGTTTAGTGTAGCTGGTTATGTAAATCTGAAAGATATTCTGTTATTCTTATAACTGAGCGGGACTTTTTTCAACAATGACCTTGACTGCCAGGTGAACCCAGCCTTGAGTGGGTACCCGGTGCAGTCCTGGGAAGTAAAGGTGGCCGGAATGATGCTGACCACATCACCCATCTTGTGTCAATTGTCTATAAAAATATAGGTCCAGCCCTATAAGCCTAAAGGCATGGAAAAGGTACCTTTACTTTTGATTCCTATCATTCACAGACTTTCATAGCTTTATTGCGGTCACCTTATTTTGATTTATGCATTTAAACGGCACATGCAAAACAAAGATGCCCCGTGCTGAGGCTAACTCCAAAAGCCAGCATTCAGACAACAACAGTCAACAGCCAGCACATGCTGCATTGATAAGCCAGACTTTAAAGCTTCAATAACTGCATTTCTAAATACAACACTGGTGCAGATCCGGCCATACATGAATTTATATCCCTACATCTATAAATCAGAGCAAATTCAGCTCTTTACATTTATAACATTATGATGTGAAATGATTCCTGCCATTTATATTGTCATATGTGATGCCAAACCTATATCCAGATAATTACAGCTATCCATTTAATTCTACTACAGAACCAAATCTATGTGTTCAGATCATTAGTTTTAAATCTATCCCTACTATAGAACCAAATTTATATGCTCAGATATTTTAGGACAGGCAAAAACTACATTTTTAAAAACGAAAAACATCTTATGCAATATATCTATGTCACTGAAGGTTAGAAAAAGAATTCTTGCTTGCTACATCCATCCAGTTTTGACATATTGCTGTGAGTCCTGGACAATTATAGGCAGGCCAAACAATTTCTTGAGGCCTCAGAAATGTGGTTTTACAGAAAAATACCTTGGACAGTCAAACAGAGCAACCAAGAGGTTTTGAAAGAGGTGGGAGCCCGAATACAACTTATCACAGACATCAGAAGGAAAAAGTCAGTTTTTTGGGGCCATATAATGAGAAGAGGGAAAATGGAACATGTGGTGACCACTGGAAAGATCTGTGGAAAGAGGGATAGAGGAAGACAACGAGAGAAGATTCTTGACAGTCGCGTTGCATGGCATGGAGGTGTGTCAACAAACTAACTGATACATGCTGCAGGAGATCGCAGATTGTGGAGAGGCATGATCGCCCACCACAGTCGGCAAGGCACCTGATGATGCGGTGTCCGTGGCTTGGGCGTTGTGAGTCCGACTCATGATTCCAACTTATCATGATCGAAACCCACTGCTGATTGCATGGATTTTTTTCATGGTATGGGGCGTCGCAGGTCGACCGAGCCTAAAAAATGGGTACCAGGATGTATGTCCTGGGAAGTAAAGACGGCCGGTGTAATGCTGACCACATTACCCATCTTGTGCCGATTGGTCTGTAAAAATATGGGTGTTCTTTCCATATGCCCTATGCGCATAAAGGCGTGAAAAGGGATCTTTACATTACTTATATATATATATATATATATATATATATATATATATATATATATATATATATATATATATATATATATATATATATATATATATATATATATATATATATATATATATACTTTTAAGTAACCCTAGGTACAGATTTAGGTGGTGTAACAACTGACAGATGCAGATGGAATTAAAGAAATTCAAGCAGAAACAGACAAACACATGGTGAGTTGACTTGAGACTTAAAGAGTTAAGTGGCATGGTGTCATTTACCCTTACTTAGTGTTTACAGTTTTTTAGGACTGTTCTCAATACCTTCATGGTGGTATCATCACCAATTGCTAGTCACACTCGCCATTCTGTTTAGCACAATACATTGCAGACCTGAGAAGGAGAACTCACAGGGAACCCAAGAAATGGTTCTTCTTATCTGATATTCCTCTTATATGGGTAAGAGTTCAAGCAAGAAACATTGCCGGGGATAAACAAATTTCTTCTTTAAAACATAAATTCGCCACATCCGAGATTGCCTTAAGCAAGAAACATTGACGGGGATGAACAAATATAGTCTTCAAAACATAAATTTGCCACATCCGAGATTGCCTTAAACAAGAAACATTGACGGGGATGAACAAATATTGTCTTCAAAACATAAATTTGCCACAACCGAGATTGCCTTAAACAAGAAACATTGACGGGGATGAACAAATATTGTCTTCAAAACATAAATTTGCCACAACCGAGATTGCCTTAAACAAGAAACATTGACGGGGATGAACAAATATCGTCTTCAAAACATAAATTTGCCACAACTGAGATTGCCTTAAACAAGAAACATTGACGGGGATGAACAAATATCGTCTTCAAAACATAAATTTGCCACAACTGAGATTGTCTCAAGCGGCCGAGATTGCCTTAGGCGGTCTGCACTGTATAACATTATCATTTGGAAAGACAGTAAGGGGCCAACAATATCAATCAAAAGCAACACTGTTGGAAGTACTATATTTAATCAATTTATCCAGAATGCAATCCCTGTGGCTTGGCTACTAACTTCTCCCTGTGGGTTCCAGAGCCCCACTGTAGGGAAAACGCAAACAGACCAGTGCCTCCCCAACAAGCATATTTTAGGAGTCAACTAACCAGGGGCTGCCTTCGAAGTCACAGTATATCTGCCTGAGAAGTAAGGAACAACACACTGCATACAAATATGCCAGTAAAACGGATGTACACGCAAAACTCAAGCCCTGACACAAAGCCAAAGTCCAAATAAACAAACAACTAGGACTTTCCACCACAGCTTACAGCCGGTGGACAAAGAAGAAGAAGAACAACACTACTAACTGGAAGAAGTACAGATGAAACAATGCAGAACACACAATAAGACATCACAGGTAGGAAGACAGCTAATGGGAGACTGCTACTGACCTCAACCCGAGACATCACCACCTTGATCTTTGACATTTGCTGCATAGCAAGAGGAACACACCTAGTGGCGGAAACCTGGAATGCCTGGAACAGGCCCATGGTGACATAGATTCTGTATGCAGTGATGACTTCTCTTGTGGCCACCCATGCAATGAAAGTGCAGAATATTGCCAGTTTCATTGTGCTAAAGACTGGGGCAACAAGGCACACCTGTGCTGCACGAGCTGAATGCACCCTCCTAATCTCAAGCCTGCAGATTTGTTATAAATGTAAATAAAACAGCCCAGGTAGCTGACAGGGTGATATATACATAAACACCCATCCACAAAGAAAAGTGAGAATTTGTGTTGTACACCGTAAACTGAAATTAGTGAGAGAAAAAAAACAAAAACCTCCTTATGACAAACAGGGCCCCCAAAAACAAAACAATACCACAATCCAACATTTTGCAAGACAAGCACCAAGTGTACACTGACAATTATATGTCCCAGAGTGCAGAATATAAAAAAATCTGGTGAAAATAAATCAACAAAACAATAAATATCACATTTACATTATTTTTTTTTTCTCGTATACAAGGGGTAGGCAAATGTTTCAGACCACCCACCTAGTCAAAAACTGACATTCTGGGCTCTGGACCACCCAACCAGTGCAGATTGGTCTCTAAAAATAAGTATAGCACCATATGCCTTATTCAAGACTGGTTTGAAAAGGGTCCGTATATTTTTACTGGAACATACATTCAGGAGCTGGCTAGCAATATCTTCCCATAGGCTAGAAGTCAGATATTCAAATTCCTTTCCAATACAGAAGTTGCTTAACTCTACCAGACCGCTGAACCGCTTTTCCTGTAATTTCCTTATCTGCCCCTAAACTGCTGTACCAAATTTTCAGTACTTCAAGGACTACATGATAAAACGCTTCACAAACTAAAAATAACCAACCTATCAAGATCAAACTTTGAGGTTAGTCACTGTGAATTGATGCCCACAGGGTGTTTGGATTTACTTTGTGTGTTTTAGTGTGAAAAATTTAGAAAATTCACAATGAAAAAGAGCGGCTGATGAATCAAGCACTTCGACAGGAAAGTGAAGTAGGTCTAGGCTTTTCACAGTTCAACAGGTGATCAATACTTTGGTTGATTCAGACTCTGAGGAGTCAGAATTTCATGAAGAATAGGTTCCTAGTTGAAGTGACACAAACAGTGAGAGCTCCAGTGATGAGGAGAATCTTGAAAAATTATATAGATTTTAAACTAGATCGATAGTAAGAGAAGGGGGGGATGTGTCCCTCTAACCGCAACATCTGGTGCTCACTTTGTGAAGCAATGCTGATCCTGCTGGGTGGATTGGCACACAAAGGTGGAATATTGGTGCTAGAAAGGTAAACCTATTTTTTTAGCTCAGGTATAGGGGGCAGTTAGGTTCAGGGCCTCAGGTCTGGTAGGGTTAAATACTGAACCAGACATTCGCCTGCAGTTATCGTCAACTGATCCTGAAATAAGTCAAAATGTTATTTTATGGACCCTACTGTTGGTCTCACCAACAATGTAACATTTATTGTAACGCAAATGGTTTTATTTACTGAACTCTGGAAGAAATGTTATGTATGGCCAGGCTTCAACAATATCCTGTGTATCATTGGAGAAAATATCATTCACAATAGTTAGATTTCTCTTTACTTTACATTCCTTTACTATCTATCCCCTCTTCCTCCTCTCCATAAATTTCTTTCTCAACACCCTTAATTCTTAAGACTTCACACAGGTAGGGTGTAGGGTGGGCATAGGAACTGATTCTAAAATAGGCTCCACATTAAAAAAAAAAATTGCTAAGAACCACAGCTCTATCACATTCAGACAACAATACTTGCAACCTGGAAGAGAATACTCACCGGCGAGAATGTAAAAACAGTACACGACATTACACAACAACACATCACAGGAAGGAAGGTAGCTAATGAGAACCTGCTACTGACCTCAACCCGAGAAATCACCACCCTGACTTCTGCTATCTGTTGGATGGCAAGGGGAATGAACAGAGTGGTGGACGTCTGCAATGCTTGGAACAGACCAATGGTGACAAAGATTCTGTATGCTGTGACTGCTTCTCCGGTGGTAACCAGTGCGATGAAAGTGCAGAAAATTGCCAGTTTGGAAGAGCTAAAAAACGGGGCAACAATGCTTGCCTGTGCTGTTCGCGTCGAGTGCACTCTCTTAATCTCAAGCCTGTAGATTTGTTAGTTATTTCAATGAAATTGTCCTCCAACCTCAGCATGTGTCTCACATTAAAAAGCTGTTCACTTGCAAAAGAAAAGTCAGCTTATAAGCTGAACACCATAAACTGTTATTATTAAGAATAACACATAAGTAAATATGAGCTTACTAGAAAATAGGAAAGCACTTGCCACAGTCTACAAGACAGACAGCACTACAAATGTTAGTTAGTGAGTCAGAGTTGCATCTACTTGGCAAAAAGGTCACACAACAACTGCTTCACACCTGTGTTAGTTAAAACCACACAGAATGCCCAATGCTGTCCCTTGTGGAACAGAACCATGCTCACAGATGATGGCTAAGGCTAAGCCCACAAGCAGAGAATACCAAAAATCTGTGAAACCCACAATGAAAAAATCAGAGCTGTATGTTCATATTAATATGTTATAGCAGCAACAAAGTTTTAGGATATTTGGGCAGGCTGGGCAAGTGATTAGGAAACTAGACTGTCAGGAGACCTAGGATTCGACCTTATAAATATGATGAAAGTTTCCCAGAAATGAAGATAAAAGGGTACACAGTTTATAAATAAGACAAAGAGTGTTAGAGATTCATTTGTAGCCAACCTTCATTGGGGGGCACAACACCTGGCAAACTGATTACTATAGAGAGAATCTGTCTACTGGAAAGTAAACCTTAGGAAAATGTTTGCAAAAGTCAGGCTAACTATCTCAGAAGATCAGAAGACCAGAGAGGAAGAAAGGACAACATAAAAAAGTTAATATTTAGCCAAAGCATTAAGCTAACTGCTATATGTTAGACTACAAACTAGAGTATATAAGAGAAAAAAGTTTTAGTATTATCAGCACTAGGTTGATCAGCTGTTGGATACATTCTGAATCTTCTCTACCAAAACTCCCACCAAAGATGTCTGTCATTAACTGCAAAACTCACAGTGGTAAAGTGAAAAGTAAAGGATCAGTTTTAAGCCACTGGTTCCCTGTATGGGTTCCTGGGCCCCATTGTGGGAGAAAACAAGAACAGACTCACTGCCTCCCCCAACAAGCATGTCGTGGGAGTCGACTAATTGAGGGCTTAATTTCAAACCGGAGGGCATCTGCCTGAGAGTCAAGGAACCAACAATCTGCATACAATTAAGTCAGATCTGTAAAATGGATGTGCATGCAACACTCAGGTTCTCAAAGAAGACTAAAGTCCAGAGGTGGACAAACAACCAGAACTTTCTGCTAGTGTTTACAGCCGGTGAACACGAACAAGAAGAAAAAGATTAACCAAAAATCCAAGGGGATACAGAGTTGCTGAGCCACACGTGGTGGTGCTCGTGCACCAGGGCTCATAGTAGTGCTTGCCTAGCTACACCTCTTTGCCTTGCTGACAGCCTGGCTGATATAGATAAGATCCACATTTTCTCTGAAGTTGCAACGCATCTGTCTGGGAGGTTTATAACCAACAGCCTGCCTTGAAAAAAACCAGATCTGTAAAACAAACCTGTAGGCAAACCTCAAAATTTGGAACAAGATCAAAGTCCAGAAGTCAATGAAAACCAAAATTTTCCAATGGAGTTTAAAACCGGTGAAGGCTAAGCAGAAGAAGAAGAAGCAGCAACACTGTAAGTGACTCTGCGTATTGTAAGAGACGTTTATGTAAGGCTGGTATGAGACTGCCCAAATTAATTTCATTAATTTGAAAAGGGATGCACCAGGGTCACGGCTCAAACATGTCAAGGCCTATCTACACCACTTTGTAATTATCCTAAAAACATATTTCCTGCCAAGAGCCTGGCAAACTTTTATAGAATCCACGTATACTTTGAAGTTGCAGTGCGTCTGAATGAGAGGCAGGTAACCAACAGTCTGCACACAAATTAGCCCCCTCTATAGCATGCAACACTGAAGTCCTGGATCAAGGGTAAAGTTCAGAAGTGGACAAACAACCAGCACTTCCACCACAGTTTACAGCTGGTGAACAATACCAAGGGCTGCAGGAGAGACCAGAAGAAGCAAAACCAGAAATGAGGTCAAAAAAGAACAAGTCAGCAGGGAACCAATTCTAAATGACACACAAAGACAGCAAATCAAATGGTTTTTCCACTAGAGAATGCCTTGTTCCACCGCATAATATAGAGCACACACCAAAAGAGGAAATAGACAAGAATTACAAGGCAGACCAAGAACAAGATGAAAAGATAACATCAGAGAAACTCTACAACAGCACAATGTGTCTGTGCTCAAGTTGGTCAGAACAGCAAGAAACATAACCTTTGTCACCCTCGAAGCGGTAAAAGAGTAAGTGAACAAGAAGAAGAACATTGAGAAGAAGAAGAAAAAGTTAAGGATCTGGTATATGGTGCCATTCTGTCATTTTTATAGAACTGATCAAGATGAGCTTTAGTCCAGTATCAAGCAAACTACCTTTTCTTCTGGAAGCATTTTGTGGTAAACATTTAAGGCTGTGTTGATCTTACAGCCCAATACATTTTTAAAAGTCTGTTTTAATAAGGATGCAAACCTACGACCACTAAACATGCTACTAACGGAGCCACCCCAGCTCTCTATTTTAAGAATCGCTAGAAAATGACTTGTAATACAAGCCATAGTCACAGTTCACTGCATGCTCTCCTTTCTGATACCAAGAATGGAAAGTGGGGCATTCAATCAGACAAGAAAACAAAGCAATTAATAAATAAAGGGGTATGCACACACATGCATATATTCAAACACATGGATGCATTCCATTCTTTTTAAACATAAATCATAAGAAGACCTTAAACAACAAATACAAAATAGAGACCCAAAACAAAACAACAACAAAAATACAGGAAGTGTATCAAACCCACAGACAACAAATGATATACCTGAATAAATACACCAAGGCAGAAATCTGAACAATAACCCAACAGCAACCATTTGGAATCTGAGAATCAATGAAATATAATCATTCATACAGGAGAGGATACATGTTATATTCTGGGATTAAAAATTTTTGTTCTGAACTCCCAAATTGATCCAGCCTTTGAAATATTGGGTAACAGGAAATTATCAGGGAAGGTAAAGGTGGCCGGCGTGATATTAATAATGGCCAATGCCATTTTATTTAATGGCTCAACCCGGAGGGGGAAATGTGAAGGAAGATTGTGGTGCTTCTGCCTTGTGTTAGAGCTGTCTTGACCATGGAGATCATGGTGGTAACTAAAGGAGTGGTCTAGCTAGTGACACAGATCTTTACTCAAGCACACTTTCCCAGTGACGTCATGAGTATGCTCCAGAATCTAGTGGTGAGCTGGCTCAAATACTGTGGTTAAAGTCTCTGAGGTGGTCACCACAGACAAAGATCAATTTCAACTTTGTTTAGAGTTGAGCTCAGTCAAGACTTGACATCACAGCACTCAGTGCATTCCCATGTGTGCTCCGTCCTCATCATCAGCATCCAGCGCAGAATTCCAATACTGATGGTACCAGTCACAATCTGGTTAAATATCCGTCTTGCCTTTCCTATGAGTGTAGTGAGCCGGCCAGACCCTCTGGTTACACCCAGGTGCCTCATTCTCTCCAGGCCATAATAATCTTTCTCTGATTCTGTTACTTGTTCCCAAAGGGCCTTGACCACATCTGCCTTGTCATGTATCAATTCACCACCCAGTGGTGCAGATCCAGCCAATCTGTCTGCCTGTTCATTACCCAATACGTCGGCATGGTCTGGAGATTTCAAGTGTGTCTGAACAAGCAATGTCTTCAAGGAATCAAACAAGCCTGTAGGCTTCAGTCAAAGCTATACTGGAAAGAGGATTAAGCTGATATACTGAATGGCCTATGAGAAGAAAGATAGATGATCACATAAATCAAGTGATGACCGAATCTGGTACCAATGAATGGACACAGAACAGGTGTGGTATTAGGACATACACTAAGATATATACTGAGGAGGGATCCAAGCATTTATGGACTGAATGGTTGAATGTACCGTAAGGGTGATTTAGCAACTAACAAACTGACCATCTACATAACCCAGGGACCTTTAAAAACTGTGTGGCTACAACTTTTCAATACAACATTTGACAAGGGAAAGGACACATCACTTTTTCTTTACTCCAGGCTACATTTATAGTGGAGGAGAACATGCATCAAAATGTTTACTCTTCATATGTATGGAAACTTATGAAATACCACATGTAGAGTGCCCATTGGAATGAGCTCAAAGAAGATTAATAATATTGACACATAATAACTTAGTTAATATACAAAAAAGTAACAGCTTTAAGATTTTTTGTGTGGAATATGGATGGGGAATAAGAGTCACACTGTGGAAGAAATTGGGAATAACACTGTCCTATAGGGGGAAAAAAATATAGTCAAAAACATATCAGTCCCAGCAAAATCTGGAAGATCAAATGCAAAGTAAATGCATGAGGTGTGCCGATACTGACAGTCTCACCAGAATTGTAGCTAACTTTTCTTGCTACCAGTCAGTCACAACAGCCACCATTTGCACATGTTATTCCGAATGTAACCGGTCACCCATCACTTTTTGTGCAGTTCTCAGCACAAAACCGCTGTGGTTTTACATGAAATCCACAGCTCAGAGTGTCACACCAAACTTAGTAGTATGGCGATGTACTTTGGACTCTCAGGATGGAAACAGGGAAACTGCACCAGAAAACCATGGCTAGAAACAAATAACCTTCCCAAACATCACTGGCTAGCTGGCCTGTCCACCATAGTTGATCAAAAGAGAGAAATGCTAAATGGTCAAAGACTGGTACTGAAGAATAAAGCAACAGAACTTATCTAGAATACAAAGAACCAAAATTTATGAAAAGACATAAACATCTATGACATCTGGTAGGGCATGTAAAGACAACAATGAACATCTAGCTTCATCACTGTAAGGTTAATCAGTTATTTGCAGTTCAAACTTCAATGCAAACGTGTTACCCCCATGGTGAGAGAACTATATACTTCAAGTCCACACAGAGGGGAAAATGCAACCATGGA